AACAATTAGCACGAGCTAATATTTAACAACTTGTTAACCTATTCATCCAACCAAAACAACATAACGTTTAATAAATATGTATTTGAAATAACGTTAGCTAGTACTCAGTACAAAGCTATTTAGTGTCTGTTTTGCTTATTGTGCATCTAAACAAAGTCCACACGACAAAAAAATACGTTAAAGCACCAACAAACAGCTAAATCTTTTAAAAAAAGAGGCCAAAGTGAAAGTTGTCAGGCATAAATACACAAGCACCTTCCGTTGACAACTTTCGCTTTCATTAAAGTTGACAACGATTTTCCCACTATTTGCCAAACGAGGAAACGATGGGGAATGAATGGGGAGCTCAAAATAAGGCCGGTTGTTCGGGACTGACAGGTGTTTGAAACGCGTGGCGTAAAAAGACTGAAGGGAGAAATGCAGCGGTCAACTGAACCTCACACTGCTGCCATTGATGAGGGGAAGAAGTGTGTCATGTGGTGGGGCAGAACTGTACGGAATGGGAGGAGGAGTGTACAGCCAGCGAGCAGAGCAATGACACCGGCCTCCGTCAGCTTTACAACCATGAGGACGAAAACGCACGTCTTTGAGATGTGCTTTGAATAACTCGGCCGGAATCGGATCCTCGAGTGGCCGTGCGAGTTGCATCTGAGCGGCCGCTTTACCTGCAGCTCTACGCGGCGCACTCGTTAAAATCCATTTAGTAACAGTAGTGCAAGCCTCTAAAGCAAATCACGTGGCGCGTAATATAGATCCCTTGTGTATTTATCAATACGGGTCTATTTATATGACCCAAAGCGGCACAAAGCACGCTTTTAGCGAACTTGCAGGTCGTGAAACCCAAAGAGTGCATATCGGGAATGGTAGTAACCGTGGTAGCAATGGTGCACACAACCTTTCCGCTCCTTGATTTTCCTCGGGATCTGAAAATTCTTCCTTGGCAGCTCCTCAGCCGACCTCGGGAGCGTTGAAGGCGAGCCACCGCAGTTTTTCAGGTCCGACAGGCCTGCCCTCCGCCGCTCAGAAGCATCTTGTTCAGACATTTGCTCGTCTTCACATCCAGCTTGATCGCCATTTTGCTTGGATGTGGCCGTGCTAGAGGCTGACAACAATTGCTTCTTGCTGTCGCCATCCTCCAAGGTTAGGCTGCCGGCCTTGCTGCTCTCTTTGTCGCTTTTTCTCTCCTGGCTGAAATTGCAAGCCATTTTTTTGGACCAGCGGTCACCTCTTCAGCTGGCGATGAAGTTGGTTTCAGTTGCCGCTTCACGGAGTAATTCTCCTTCTCAACCAGCCTCCGCCATTATGCTTGTGACGTATGCCTTCCCCACCACTGCAAAACTCTGGCGTCACTCTGTTTACATTCACGTAGCCTGACGCCCTCCAGCGGCGCTGCCGTGAACCGCGCAGCGTCTAGACGCCATGACCGACCGAGAGCTTTGATCGCAGATCGCCGGAGAACCGGTGCCAAGAACGAACCATAGAGCCGACACACGGGGAACTCAGTGGGAAAACTCACTGCATATGTTTGAGCTCGTATTCAAAAAAAAAAAAAAAACCGTCTTCACGAATTGTAGGCAACACAAAGCTATCACGTGACACGATTCCATAAAGTGAATTAAAAAATCTAAAAAGGTATTTAGATTACACAATTGACATCGAGATATCGAACATTTAAAAAGTAGGCCTATACACAGGGGCGATTTTAGGGATTTGGAGGCCCTAAGCAACTCCAGCTATGGGGCTTCAAGTCCTAAAATGCACCCCTTCAATTTTTATTATATTTTTATTTATTTAGCTGTTTTTTATATGACTCAATCTTACTTTCTACGTCTTATGTTAACGTAAGCTTTACATTTTAAATAATTGGATGTCTTAAAATGATTTTACAACTAAAAAAAATATATTATATATATATTATATATATATATTATAAATTTGACTGCTGGACTGTTTCATGATTGAGGGTGGGGGATATTTTTTTCATAATATTATTAGTGCACAAAATTATGTTATTATAATAATGTTATATCAAACTGTATATTAAACAATATTTAATTACGTAAAAAAATATTTGTTTGACTTTTACTATACAAAATACGATAGAAAATTATATATTGTTTATAGGTATAACTTTTACTTCTAGATATTTATTGGGGACCCCCAGATGTCCTGGGGCCCTAAGCGGCCGCTTACCTTACTTATTGGTTAAATCTGCCACTGCCTATAAAGCAGGGTCTGTTAGAAGAACTGAGAGTTTTAATCTTTATGATGCAATGGATCTCGATGATCCAATCATAAAAATGCCTACAAGTTATCCAAAAAAACTTTCTGTTATGTTCCTATTTTTATACCAATTGTTGTATTCACGTAGTTACCTATTTTAATTAATTTGTTATTAATTTATTTGTTTTAATAATTATTGTCTTTTAATTAACTTGAATAATTCATTTAATTTTTTTTCTAAGCCTAGTTTTGTTATTAAATATTTCATAAATTTAACTTAATCTATTTTTTCCACACTTTTGCAACATTTCTTCCTCAACAGCTTCTGATGTTTAAAATTTTTTAAACAAAGAAAGAGATTTTTGGCATTTGTAGTTTGAATGATATATTATCTGGGTTCATCATGTAGATTATGGTAGAAAACCCAGCAATGCCCTGACCGTTTATTTTTATTCAAACTATTAAACATGTCAATAAAATGTGGATAAGCATGAACAACTTGAAATCAACCATAAATCAGACAAGCAACTTCTCCCAACTTGTGTTTTGTCACGAACATACAATCATACTAATGACTGCTTATTTATCCTGATAACATTTTTCATTGTTATTTTCCGGTTTCCCCCACAAGTCCAAAGACATGTGCTTTAGGTGAATTGGCCATAGTGTGAATGAGTGTATGGATGTTTCCCAGTGATGGGTTGGAGCCGGAAGAGCATCGGCTGTGTGAAACATATGCTGGATACGTTAGCGATTCATTCCGCTGTGGTGAGCCCAGATTGGTAAAGGGATAAGTCGAAAAGAAAACGAATACCAAATACATACATTTTAAATATACTAAAATAAACAACAAAATACAGCAGCCATTAATGTATCAAAATAAAACACTGTATTTTTGTATTTTAAAAATACTTCAAAATACTTTTCCAAGGAAGCATGACATTTCTTTGCAAACCTTCCATCAACAGGTCTATTGAATCAATCCCTTCACCATTAAACCGACTTAGGGAAGTAAACAATGTTTGACAGCAACAACTTTTCTCTGCCACTTTGTTCACCTATGGGGGGAAGTTGTGGCCTAAAGGTTAGTAAGTTGGACTTGTAAACCAAAGGTAACTTGTGTTTGTCTTAGTTATAAGTCCAACTCACTAACCATTAGGCCATAACCTCCCCCTATAGGTGAACGAAGGGGCAGTATATATATCTAAAATTCCTCTGCATTTCCACCTGCAGCACTGAGACTGAGATTGAAAATGTTCTAAAGCTCCTCATCTTGTTCTTCAGAACTGATATTTTATTCCATTTCTTTTCTTAAGCAAAGAGGCTGAATTGTATACACTATATTGCCATTGTATATTTCTGGTCTTTAGCATTGCTCAGTATACCATTTTCAGTAGTTGCTGACTTGCTCCTAAATCCCCTCACCATTTGTCTGTTACTTTCTTTAAGCATAATTTCCATCTACACTCTAATCATTGACCACCTTTTTAAAAATAAATCAGTTTTCTGTTCTGATCTCAAGCTTAGGCTAATAACCTAGAAAGCATCAATCAGAGGCCTCATTTTTAAGATGTCATTATGTACAGTAGAGTACTTGTAAAGTATTTTACAGTATTTTGAAACTACAAAAATACAAGACACTAAAATATTTTGATACAACACATTAAAGGTGCAGTAGGTGATTGTCTTCAGAAACATTTTTTGTTGTGCTGGTTGAAAATATCTTTACATTCCAATAGTACTGATTAAAGTAAATGTTTTTATATGTATTTTTATTTTCTGAGTAAGGCATAAAACTAAAAAATGTTAATCTAATTAAAATTTGTCAGGGCAACAATTGCCATAATTCTGATAAGTAGCCCATTAGATTTGTACATCTGCGCATTTGTCCACACAGATCCGCCATTTGCATGTGCATGCCACTTAAGTTCATGTACACACGAGACAGTCACAGTGCTAAAAACAAATGCTGAAACAAATGTTTTTAAAATCCTGAATCAATAGTTACTTTAACACGCTGGAGGAAGGAAGGTTTAATTTTTTTCTTTTAGATAGTTATGCATTACTTTTAATGTTATGTTTTAAAACTATTTTAGTCATGCAAATCTTATGTAGATTGTGTTGTTTTACAAATGAGTTATATGCACGGTCTTCTGGAAAAAGATTGATGTGACTATTTTCAGTTTCATAAGGGATCTTTTACAGCAACGATACTGCATATTTTTATTTAGTTTAACAACAAAACATCAGTAAATAGTGCTATATTCCACCTACTCTGCTTTACTGAGGTGATGTTGGTTTTATATTTGCATCACATTGGTTCATTTTTGAACAATGACAACCTGTGACACATTCCTTATATTGATACTTTGAATATTCTGTCTGAAATAGCATGTAAGTATGGCGTAGTAATAAGTGTAATTCCTGCACCCCGCAGGCCAACCACTAAGCGCTTTAGAACAAAGGGCGTGAGATAGTAAGACCAGTGATCCTTGCATGCATAGAGTATTGCACATTATGACAAGCTTTGCTTGCTACACAACTGAAAACATGCTAGATATTATACAGTTATTCATTCAGAATTGTAGTATTATAAAGTACTATAAAATTTTCTAACTGGTGAATGACATCATCTGGATGTATTTTCATTGTTAAGGTGCACGCATTCATGATTTCAGGAGGCGTGGTTTTGGATGGCAGGGGAGGGACTTTTTGTCAGATCACTTGATGCACCTTTAAGCCATTTTCATCAAATACAATCTACAAATACAATCAAAAAATGTTGAATCAGATTTTTAATATCGTCTTAGAAATCTGGAATCCAATGTATATGGATTTTTATATTTTTTGAACACAATTATTTCACAAGGTTTGCTTTTTTATTAAAATAAAAAACAACCAACAGCATATTTTGTTTTAACTATAATGTACAAATTTACCTTTTTAGCTTACTTTATTCTGTCATACTTCCTCTGCTGTAAATATCATACTCTTTGAAGCGAATATAGTCTTTGAGACGGGCAGGCAGAGGCAGGTAACTTATAAAAACCGGAGCCCTCAGACGCAAACGACCCAAACAATCACGAATCTTCAGTCTGCAGAGATGCTTCAGGCTTCTTGTGTTTTCTGATGACAGAAGAAAATGTAAATCAATAACACTGAAATCTGCTACATTTCAGTCTATTAACCAACATCTAATCTCTTTCAACAACAGCTGAGATCTACAGTAGTCAACATTTGAGGTGAATATGATTAAAAAACATTTGCCTACAAGAACGTGTGTTGTTGAATAGTTTTAGGACAGCTTTGATGAAAGATTTTTGTTCCACTTCAAATGTCGACTGTATATGTCAGATTTACTGGAAATATAAAATGAAAGTTTGCTTTAATCTCTGACTCACGTTGTATCTTGCAAATTTCCGGCCACTGTTTTTGCTCAACCAGAATAGTCTTCAGTTTGGAGCAGAGAGTCACATGATCGACATAATCCAACATGATTCGCACTACATGCGCTGAGAGGTGCTTGAGCCAGTAAACTGAGATCACCTCACAGAACTGCACACAAATAGATATGATTTACAGTAGGAAACATCTCTTTAAAATGAAAAGTTTAGTCATCACTCACTCACTCTTAAGCCATTCCAAATCTGTAAAACCTGCCATGAGGGTGGCTAAACAAACTTAGGATTACAGGTTTAGTTTTAAGTTGACAAAACCAGATCAGTGCAGTCTGACTTTGTTGGTACCATAAAGCTGATCATCAACTTTCTCTCTTAACTCTGGCATTCATTTTGAGTTCTTAAGCTCATGCAGATGAAAGCGGGACATCAGTTGCAAACAGCTAATCACATGCTTTGGAACAAAGAAATTGTGATTGACTTCTAGTCAGAGAGTAAGTGCAATTTACAGGCAAATATTGAAATGCTTAAAAATATTTATACGGTAGGATGAAAAGAGATGTACAGCTAAAATAAAACTTTATTTAGTGCTTTGTTATTGTAAAAAATTAAACTGTGAAGCTGATAAAATGTACTACCATAGCTGTAGAAAGACTCAAAAATCTAAGCTCATGTGTTTGTATCTTTTTGTAGCCTAATTAAAAACTAAAGCATTAAATTGCAGCTATATTTGTAATTAATTATCTGATATTAAAATAATATTGCTTATGTTTAGTGGATTACAGATGCAATCACTATATAAATCATCTAAAATAATCATAGTAAATATCTATCTTTAAAATCTGACAATTCTTTTCTTTAAAAGTATTGTACTAAATAGTGACCTTTAAATTTCATCAAGGGGTGGAGTGGCTGTATTACATCAGAGATAGATATGTCACTTTACTCACAGTTGATTGATTGAATCATAGTTTGTGATCTCCAATCAAGACTATAACCTGCCCCGGAGTTGGTTTGTCATGTAGAGTAAGATGAAAACCATGATTTATTAAAGCCGAGCTTCCTCCATGGTTCCCAAAACCCAGAATTGGTGCAAACTAAATTGAAACTTAAAAGGATTGTTTAACCAAAATCTTTATGATATTGTTTTGGTTACAATTTGGGTGTTAATCTATAAATCAGACTATTTTTAAACGTTTATACAGTTATAGATGATACAGTCTTGAAGGTCCCGAAAAATTAAAATAAAGTTTTTTAGATGTTAGTTTCTCTCTGTTAGTTTTAAGGATATATATTAGCTAGTGTGCTCTAAAACAGTGACAAAATTCACATTTAGAAAATATAAAACTGTTATAAACATCAAAGCTTTCAGTTTGTCACTTCCTCCTAAAAGATTTTTTCATGTCAACTCAAACTTCAGTTTCTCATTAAATCTTGACCAATCAAATGCTCTCTAGCGTTTGACATGCCCCGCCCCCTTCAAAACGCTTCTTATTTGCTTCTCAGTTGATGTGTTTGAGCTCACCCATTCTCACTGGCAGAGTTGTGATAAAAATTAAATGGTATTGGCTGATTTTTAAAAAGGGGAGGGGCTACTCTATGTCCCACCCTTCATTCATTCATTCATTCATTTTCTTGCCGGCTTAGTTCCTTTATTAATCCGGGGTCGCCACAGTGGAATGAAATGCCAACTTATCCAGCACATGTTTCACGCAGCGGATGCCCTTCCAGCCGCAACCCATCTCTGGGAAACATCCACACACACATTCATACTCATACACTATGGACAATTTAGCCTAACCAATTTACCTGTACCGCATGTCTTTTGACTGTGGGGGAAACCGGAGCACCCGGAGGAAACCCTCGCGAACGCAGGGAGAACATGCAAACTCCACACAAAAACGCCAATTGAGCCGAGGCTCAAACCGGCGACCCAGTGACCTTCTTGCTGTGAGGTGACAGCACTACCTACTACGCCACTGCTTCACCCCATGTACCACCCCCTCTCAATTTTTTTAGTTGAGATTACGTCAAACATTAAATAAAAACGGCACAATTCAAAGCACTTTATGGGACCTTGAAATCTTTCCCGAGCTTGTGTTTGCGGTCTGATGCATTTGTGAGTGTATGAATGGAAGTCTATGGTGAAAAAAGTTCAGTGTGAGCTTAACTAGGCTTTCTAGAAACATCTGCAGGTGCGTTGAGACAAGTTGGAGCTAAAATCTGCAGGACACTGGCCATCCGGGACAGAGTTTGGGCACCCCTGAACTAAAAACGTTGCAAATTTGAAATTTGAAAATTTTAAAACGTTAAACGCTGCAAATTTCAGCAACAAAACACACAGAATAACACTAATTTAACACTCAATCTCCTTTCTTTCATATGAGAGGAGTTTAAGCCATTAGAATCTTATTGGCTCATTTCGGTCTCATTCCCTTTCATAAATTTTTAGACATGAATGTTGCAAACTGGTATTTTCCTCTTATTGTTTTTATGTATAGTCATACACAGACTTGATTGTAGAGCTAGTTTGACCATTCATCCACGTTTGTTATTAGTAGTCATTTGCCCAACAGGCAAATTAATCTTAAGTCCTAAAACAATTGCAGAAAAGAGCTTTTTTTCTTCATTGCAGAATAAGGTTGACAAAAACATTTAGAAATCTGCTTAATTAAAACAAAATAATAATTTTGAGTTATTGTAACTTAGTTCCATTAAGTATACTTTAACGAGTATATCCACACTATAAAGTGGGTGAAATGATCTCTTTTCATTTAATTTCGCAGTTCATTTTTACCGTGTCTATTGTGTTCACTCATCAAAAAAGAAGATCTGAACAACATTTGAATGTCACCGAGGTCAGTAAATGATGACTGAGTATTCATCTGTCTCTTTAACAACACATACTGATAATGCGGGTACTAATTCGGCTCATAAATGAGGATGAAGTCTTACCACCATGTCTTTGATAACAGAAGTGCTCCATCCCTCATAATCCACAGGTGTGTGTGATGCCTGTCCATATGGACAGTCAAAGCAGCGCTGCACATCATAGCCATTATTCAGCAGCATACGCAGCATCACCTCATCCTTAAGCGCGTACTGAAGGGCTGAAGGGAAATGGGTGGTGTTGATACGGGAGTAGTAGTTTACATTGGCACCATAGCGCAGCAGAGTATTTATAAGCTCATAGTTGCCCAATCGCATGGCCGCTTGCAGACAGCTGATGGGGTCTTGATTTGGCATGGCTCCGGCCTCCAAAAGGACTCTTGCTGACTGGACATCATTATTCGATACGGTGAAAAACAACGCTGACCTGCGTTCATCGTCATAGTTCTTGCGCACTCTGGGGTGAAGCATAAAGTTTGGGTCAAAGCCGGAGCTCAGGAGCAGGTCCAGGCACTGTGTGTGACCGCCTGCAGCAGCAGAGTGCAACGGGCTCATGCCACTCTCTTTGATTGCCTCTATCTTGGTCACCGGGATCAGGTGCTCCAGTGCTCTATGAAAGAGACAAACAGAGAAATGTCTAAGAATGAAGTCAAGGACAAACCTGTCAGTGGTGTGTCACTCACAGTAGATGTCCACGGTAGGCTGCGCGGTGGATGGGGAGATGGCCGGTGTGGGTGGGAATGTTCGGATCGGCTCCAAACTCCAGCAACAGTGAAATGATGTCAGGGTTTCCAGAAGCCGCAGCATCGAATAAAACTGAGGCTGATTCTGGAGACCGAGGCTTTGACCAGACGCAGGCCCCTGAATGATAGCAAGTTGATAAATAATAAAAGTGGCTGATGCCAAAAGACAGAAAGACAAATTCAAGGAAGAATGGATAGATGGGTGGGTGGGTGGATGGATGGATGGATTGATGGACAATAAAATAGACAGATAAGATAGACAGACAGACGGATCGATAAAAAAACAGACATACATAGATAGATAGATAGATAGATAGATAGATAGATAGATAGATAGATAGATAGATAGATAGATAGATAGATAGATAGATAGATAGATAGATAGATAGATAGATAGATAGATAGATAGATAGATAGATAGATAGATAGATAGACAGACAGACAGACAGATAGAAAGATGATAGACAGACAGACAGACAAGACAGACAGACCTTCTACTGAATTCCTGACCAGAGGCACATTGACAATCACCTTTCTGAAGCAGAACCTCTACAACACTAAAGTGTCCAGCCTGAGCTGCGAGTCCTAAAGCAGTGTGTTCGCAGATGTCAATGGCATTTGGGTCAGCGCCAGATTGTAGGAGCAGGTACACAAAATTCTCCAAGCCGAGCACAGATGCTTCATGAAGAGCCGTTCTCTGAAGACTTCCTCTTTGGTCCACTGTAGCACTGTAGCGCAGCAGCAGCAAAGCCATGTCATACTGGTCATGCTTTATGGCTGGAAAATAAGACAATTCAGGTTTTTTTCATGTTAATTTTTTATTGATAATTATTCTCATGTACTTTACATTTTATTATATTTGAGTGAAATTAATATATTATAATTAAGTTTAATATTATATTTTATTTAAAAATGTTAAATTATATTTATGCAGTATATGATTATATTAGATTATAACCAAATGTTTTAAAAAAGTAAATATATGTATATTTTTAAAAGTGCTTTAATTCAAAACTCAAAATTGAAAGCATAAATCTAAAAAAAAATAATGTTTCAGATTAGTTGAGTGCAGTACCAAATTAATTTAATTTTTGTTTCAAACAATTCACAACCATTTTGTTTGGAATTAGAGCAGGGAAAATAAGTATAAAACACGTCATTTTTTTCATAAATGATATTTCTAAAGGAGCTGTTGACTTGGAATTAAACCAGGTTTTTGTAAAAACCCAAACAATACAAACATAAAAATGAAACAAAAAAAACTATTTTCAAAAATTAGTGTGTAATAACACTGAAATGACACAAGGAGAAAGTACTTTATATAAAAAGCTTTTTGGTAATGGCAGCTAAAAGATGGCTCTCATATGGAGAATGAAGTCATGAATTGCTCAGGTTTGAGTTTTTCACCAATTTCAACATAGAGTGTAAGAATCTTAATGGTTCTGTGGGTCTCCTCTATCAAATCTGATCTTTACTTTGTACTTTCTATTTGGATTCAAGTCAGGGGATTAGCTGCACAATTCTACAGCTTAATTTGAGAGATTCCTTGGCTGTGTTTTGGATCATTGTCTTGCTGAAATGTCCATCCTGGTTTTATCTTAATCATCATGTTAGATGTTAGACTGAACCTGCAAATATTAATTCACAATGATTGGCAGAGGGTTGATGAAAAACTACTGAAAGAATTCAGCTGCTGTCTGGGCTTTTACTGCCTTTCTAAACCACCCCCCCCCCCCCTTCTTCATGTGTTCAATACTTTTTCCCTGCGTCATTTCATTTTATTTAGCATAACTTTTGTAAACTAATTAGATTTGTTTTCTTTGCACATATGGATTTATCTGGTTATTACCAACATCTGGGGAAAATTTCAAGTCAACAGCACCTTTAGAATCATGTTTTCTGAAAAAAACGGTGACGTGTTCAATACTTATTTTTCCCGTTATATATGCATTACTTGATAATTTTTTTAATAAATTATTTTTTCAGTTTTTTAACCAAACCTTGACCAAATTTCCCATTGATGAATTAAAAAAATTTTCTAAGAATAAAACCCTAAGTATTAAGTATTTCTTTCAAAAATAAAGAGCCAGACGGTTAAAGATGCTTTTAAAAATATGAATTACTGAAAATGTCATCTAAATGTAAAAACAAAGAGAAAAATATGCAGTTTAAAATGCAAATTATTACCAATACAGGTTTGAAAATAAACTTTTATCTTGTATTGTTCTGATATTTTTGTCTTGTATCTTCATTCTCTTGTGTGCTAAACTTCAAGTAGTGCCTCTAAACCCAAAAATGGTAAAAAATGGTTGAACTTACAATCTTAAAGAGGAATGTATATGTCTACTAATCATGCTACTAACTATGCTATAATAGCACAGCCTTCCACACCTGCAACCAGTGCAGAATCGCCCTCCTCATTTTTGCAGTCAGGGTCGCAGCCGTTCTGCAGCAGGAATGTGGCATTATCTCTGAGACCGTGAACAACGGCAAGAAATAGAGGCGTCTCCCCTCTCAGGGTCCGGCATTTCCCTGAGCCTTGAGGAGACGCTGAAGGAGGAAATCGCATTAAGAAATAACTAAACATGATCTTTGGTTGTTCGATACCATATAATCAAAACCATATGATTGTTAGTTTGCATTGCTAGTTTTTGGAGAACAATTAATCTGTACATGTCATTAAGAAAAATAGTTTGCCCTTGTAATCTTTACTTGAAATCTGAAAATGCACTTCCTGTTTTTTTAACAGTTAAACGATTATGTATTGGGCATGGTTAACATACTTAACCAGGACCCTTCAACTGTCAGTTTTGACAACAAATGTTAGGATGTAATAACTGTTCTAAAACCTATTTCCGGAATCATTCTCAATGAAATGCCCACTTTACACTCTTACAAATAAAGGGGCTTAAAAGGTTCTTTGTTGGTGTAGATGGTTCTTTGAAGAACCTTTACCAGTCATGGAACCTCTTCAACTCATAAAAGGTTATTTGTTGCCCCAAATGTTTTTTTACTCTACAAAATGGTTCTTTACGTGATAGCCTCACTTTGCAGTTCCAAAAAAGGTTCTTTATTGCACCAAAGAAAAAAAAGGTTCTTCAAGGAAGCATTTGGTGAAAGGTTCTTTGAAGAACCAAAAAAGGTTCTTCTATGGAATCGCTGTGAAACCCCCTTTTTGGTTCTTTGTGGCACCTTTTTTCTAAGAGTGTACTACTACATCCAATCAGCTTGCAGTAGAAAAAGCAATCCATGCCTACTGTTTTTTCATTTAATATTCTTTTTCTCTAAGAACTGTTTCACAATCAATAATAAAAAAAAAAAATAAATAAATAAATAAATAAATAAATAAATAAATAAATAAATAAATAAATAAATAAATAAATAAATAAATAAATAAATAAATAAATAAATAAATAAATAAATAAACGGTCGCAGCTTTGGTTCACTTAGACTTTAATGAGATACCTCAAATACCTGAATAGGTGATCTCCAGAATGCTCCGCTTGTGTTGCACCGCTGCCTCATGCAGAGGGATCCACCCTCTGCTGTCGGCATTGGACAGAGCATCTGTTTGCTGAACCAGGACCTTCAGAGCATCCTCATTACCTGAGATTATAACCAACATTACATAGTAGGACCCATTTGGTCTCCAAATTTGGGTTTTAATGGGTTTGTCCCTCATATTTTGATTCATACACTAAAAATAAAAACAGTTTTTCCAAATTTAGGTAGACTGAACATTAAACAATTTTTAAAAAATTAAGAATTTTGTTGTTTCAACTCATTTTAAATATGTAGTTTAAACAAGCAGCAAAAGTAATTTTGTTTGACTGTGGAACTAAGTTGACAACTTAATTTCTATAAAACATACTGTAGTTATTTTATTGAATTTTAAGGCAATGGGTTTACTCACTTTTTTGATTAAAGTATACAAATCGCTTTGAATGCAATGGGTTTACTCAGTTTTTACAGTGCAGTCAACCAGGGTGCAAATTAGGAGGAGTTGATTAACGCTTGAACCTCTCCGAAGGACATCAGAACAAGTCGTATGGAAAGGGTCAACCTTTTAATAGTGAAAAATAGCTTTTTCTCATCTGTATATTAAATATTAATTATTTAAAAATAGATAATAAATATACGGCGACGCAGTAGTGCAGTAGGTAGTGCTGTCACCTCACAGCAAGAAGGTCGCAGGTTCGAGCCTCAGCTGGGTCAGTTGATATGTTCTGTGCATAGTTTGCATTCGTGTGGGTTTCCTCGGGGTGCTCCAGTTTCCCCCACAGTCCAAAGACATGGAATATAGGTGAATTGGGTTGGCCAAATTGTCTGTAGTGTATGAGTGTGAATAAGTGTGTATGGATGTTTCCCAGAGATGGGTTGCGGCTGGAAGGGCATCCGCTGCGTGAAACATGTGCTGGATAAGTTGGCAGTTCATTCCACTGTGGCGAACCCGGATTAATAAAAGGACTAAGCCGAAAATAAAATAAATGAACGAATGAATGAATGTAAATATACATTTGAACACCCCTATGTCAGTTCATACCATTGTGGATGCATAATCGAGCCAATCAGTCTATGCAAAAAAATATTAATTCATCAGATTATAAAATATTAAAAATATTTAATATTTCAATATTAAATTCACAGTTCAATATTAATTCATCAATAGAGCACCGATAGACAACGTAAGTTTGCACATAAAATAGGTGTTTGTTTCCACATATAGAAAAAGTAAAGTCAAATTAGACGTGTAGTTTTTATAGTTTGACCTACAGTAACCTCTAAACTAGCTAATCGGAGGATAAATCAGAAAACACTACATTTTTTACAGAACACTTGAAACACTTGAAAACGCTTCAATATGCTTCAATACGCTTAGGCTTACAAAACACAAATACAAAACACAAAACATTTTATTAAAAAAAATAGATATAATTTAAATAAATACTGAAGAATGAATTACACAAACTAACATTAACAGAAAAGTGAGGCCTACAAATAATTGCGGGTAAAGCATTGAATTTACTTGCTTTTTTTAAATAAACAACTAATTGTTTAAAAACAAAAGGTTTACTCGATATTTTTAAAGTAAAGGCAACTAATCACTTCCAAATTTAACTAGTAAAGTCAACTAATAAGTACTTTAAAAGCATGGGTTTACTCATTTTAAGTAAACTACTAACCACTTTAAAAACTAATGATTTTATAACCCTTTTAAGTGAAGTCAACTGTTGCATTAAAAGCAATTTGTTTATTCACTTTTCAGAGTTAAGTCAACTATCGTAGAATTTTATCAAATTCTTTATGAACACTTGTATTATTAGACATTAATATACACCCGTGTTACACCTCAGTGTCTGCTTACACTTCATGCATTTTCAGATGTTGTATTTCAGTTTCGTTTGTCAGACTAGTTTCTTACACGTCACCTAAAGTTTTATGTTTTTATTTTATTCAGATTTTATTTCATTTAGACAGTTGTAAGATTTAAAACACCTTAAATCATTCATATGTAAATGTAAAGCAGTCAAGCCCTGAAATGATTTCCCTCCACACCAGAATTACCATCAACCAATCAGAATCAAGCATTCCACAGTATACCATGACCCAGGTTGCTTGCTATTGTAATAATTTGTTGTTAATCAGTCAGCTTCTTAAACATATGATGAACATTTTTGGAGGGTTAAGCTCTTACCAGCTTGTATAGCAATGAAAATTTCCTCATGGTCGATGCAGTCTAATGGATCACTGTTGAAGGACATCAAATGTTAGTTCATGGGACTTGCTATTAGTGCATTAAAGTGGTGTGATTTTGCCATACTTGTTAGCTGAATCAGCATGTTTGCTGTACTCCAGGAGACTCTGTTCAATCATGTATTGAGTGGCCTCGTCTTCATCCTCATCCCAGTCTTCCTCTGCAGCATCAAATGCTTCTTCCATCTTTCACTAATGAAAATCAAATTCAGCAAGCAGGATTTAACAACAAACGGCTTATCTGTGTTATCACCGCTTATAATGAAAGGAAAACAGTAAAAGTGAGCAAAAATAGAAATAAGAGCAGAAAATATGAATCATTCATCACAAAACCACAGTAATGTAGCCAAAAATAAATTGCATTATTAAGATAATTTGTGATTTAAGTTTGAATTCATTAAATAGTAACTATATAAATGATTCCTTCCCACTTATTACTCTTTAATCCACAACCTATTCTTGTTTTGTTTTAGGCTTCTACAGTACATATTATATTTATGCTTTTAATTTTTTGTTTCATGCTGATTATTTTACACGCTGATGATTATTTTAATCATGTCTGTAAAAATTTTGGTGAAATAATGAACCCTTAGACATAAACGTATAGGCAAAAAAAGTGCATTATTATTATTATTATTATCATCATCATCATCATTATTATTATTATTATTATTATTATTATTATTATTATTATTATTAATACTATTAGTGCAAAGTCATAAAACTGAAAAAATAAAACAATACCACTGAAACACACGCACACAATCAAAAGACACACATAAAATCATCAGTATATACATACAAAACAAACTCAAATCCATACCTAAACACAGCAAACAGACAGTTGAAGTCAGAATTATTAGCCCCTTTTGATTTTTTTCTTCTTTTTTAATATTTTCCTAATTATGTTTAACAGACCAAAGAACCTTTCACAGCATAACTGATTATTTTATTTTTTTCTGGAGAAAGTCTTATTTGTTTGATTTAGGCTAGAATAAAAGCAGTTTTTAATTTTTAACTATTTTTGGGATAAAATTATTACCCCTTTTCAATTGAATATTTTTTGATAGTCTATAGAACAAACAGAAATAAGTTATTAAAACTATTATGTGTAGAAATGTGTTGGAAAAAAAATCTTCGCTCTGTTAGACAGAAATTGGGGAAAAAATAAACCGGGGGGGCTGATAATAATTCTGACTTCCTTTGTAAATGTATAGGCAAAAAGTGTGCTATTATTACTATTATTATTATTACATTTTTAGAGCAGTGTCATAAAACTGTGAAAAAATAAAACTATACCACTTAAACACACAATCATTATAACATATATATATATATATATATATATATATATATATATATATATATATATAAACCTCAAATCCATATGATAACACAGCAAACACAGACAGAAATGTAAGCAAAAAAGTGTATTTGTATAAAAATATAAATTTTTTACCCTCATCATTTTTCATAAATATGAAACTTACTAAAACTGCAATATTTATTCACAGAGCCATTTAAGTCATCTTAAAGTGTCTGCTAAACAAATAAATGTAAATGCAAGAAGTGATACATTTTCTGCTTAAATTAAAAAAAAAAATGTTATTTATTTTTTAAATGTAACTTTTCTATGTCTGGATTGTGTAGCAAATAATCACCTTCCCCCATTTCAACCTTCTAGCACTTCAGATCAATTTAAATCATGTATTTGTTTGTTTTGGTATGAATATATGTTTGTTCTTTATGTATGTACTGAAACTTTTTTTTGAGTTTGTGTGAGTAGTATAGTTGTTTTTTTCACAGTTTTATAACAATGCACTAATAATAATAATAATAAAAAATCATCATCATCATCATCATCATCATCATCATCATAATAATACTAATAAATAATGTCATTGGCTTAGATTTTAATAATCTAAAGCAAACAAGCAAACAAAAATGTCTAGCTTTTAATATACAGAAAAGAATCAACTTTATAGTTAAAAAAAAAAAACAATAGCATGATGTAAACAAACTTCTTTAAGTGGTTAAAAACCCTAAAATTTGTTATTTGTAATTTGTTATTGTCATCAGGGTCCATGTTGGTATAGACATCTATTATTAACATACCCAAATAAACATACTGTAAAACCCTAAAAGTTAAGGTAACTATTTGAGGAAACCGATTGCAACAAACCATTTAAGTTCAAAAACGAATCCTAATGAGTATCTTGAACTTAAACTATTTGAGTAAACAAAGCAACTTGAGCACAGTAAAATGCAATAAATGAAGAGAACTCCAACCAACTGAGTACAGTAAAACTCAATAAGTTAAGGCAACTCAAACCGTTTGAGGAAATCAAGTGCAACACACCATTTGAGTAAAAAAAAAAATCTATATGAGTACTGTGAACTTACTCTATTTAAGTTGAAGTACTTAGGTATTTATTTAACTGATTACCTTCAACGCTGGGTTCAAAACTCTTTTAAAATGAGTAGAATACATTTAAAAGTTAACTACACTCATTTCATTTGATAAAGTTGACTGTTGGGTTTTACAGTGTATGGTATGTTTATGATGCTTTTTTCTATAAACCACAAATGCCAGTAAAAGAACAACATTTTTTTTTAAAGTGTTGAACAGGACCACAATAACAAACTAAATTAAAGAAAAACCAATACAGTATATCATGCTATGACAAGCATCAAGCTAAGTCTCATGGATTCAAAGTTACAATCAATTATTTGCTGGAGACTATATTGACCGTATGTACTCGCGCTGGTTTACTATAGCTGAAGCTGAAAATATCTGCTCTAGTTTCTTCTGAGCTGGCTTTAATTACAAAAGGATGCAACCAACACTCAAATATCTGTGGTTGTTTCATTAAAAAAATTAAATCCACAGTTTAAATTAATGTGGTAAAAAGCCTAAGATCACAATTATCATCGTTGATTACGTGAGTCTTTAAATGGCTGTTTGATTTTAATCAGAATGTTTTGTAAACATGCAGCACATCCCATGCAACCTATTTTCCAGCAAGACTAATCTCTTTACATAGGCTTAATTGAAAGGCAAATGTTCCTTCTACCTTGAGGCAACAGGAAATGCAGAAAAACGGTCGTGGCAGTTGTATCTGTACTGTGTTTTTGGTTGCTTTACGCTCCCACAACTATTTATATCGGCGTATGGATAAAAATACATTGAGCCTGGACCAGCCAACCAACACCTGGCTTTGACCCACTGCACTGCGTGACAGTCAGTCTTGCAATTCTAGCCCGGCAGACAGCTGACCTGAGAGATAATGTTCTAAGAGGCATGTGCAGTGCGCCACGCTTTCGCTTGTGTTCAGATGTCAGCTTGAACAGAACTTCACCACATGATATAAAACCTGTACTCTCAGAAAGAGGAAGATGTGCATTGATTAAACAAAGCAATTTCACCAGAGATACACATTAACACTCTGATGTATGAATTATTAAATCAATCCAGACAGAAAATTGTTCCTTTGTACCTACAGGAAATAAACAAACTTCCTTTGTGCCTAAAAAAACCCCATTGTATTCTTTTTTGGAAACAGGCTCATATACAGGGCATGCGGATAGTATTTATAGCGCTTCACTTTTTCACAATTCTTTTGTTACAGCCTTATTCCAAAATGGATTCAATTAATTTATTTCCTCAAAATTCTACACACAATACTGCATAATGCCAATGTGAAGAAAGATTTTTTGAAATTGTTGCAAATTTATAAAAAAAAATAAAAATAAAAAACTGTAAAATCACATGTACATGCTGTAAGTATTTACAACCTTTGCCGTGAAGCTCTAAATTGAGCTCAGGTACATTCTGTTTCCACTAATCATTCTTGAGGCGTTTCAGCAGCTTAATTACAGTTCATCTGTGGTAAATATATATAAGGTTTTATATGAATCTATATAAGGTCTATATAAGGTCCCAGGGTTGACAGTGCATGTCAAAGCACAAACCAAGCATGAAGACAAAAGAATTGTTTGTAGACCTCCGAGACAGGATTGTCTCAAGGCACAGGGCTAGGGATGGTTACATAAAAATTTCTGACCCTCTGAAAGTTCCAATGAGCACAGTGGCCTCCATCATCCATAAGTGGAAGATGCTTGGAACCACCAGGACTAGAGTCGGCCATCTAAGCTGAGTGATCGGGGGAGAAGGGCCTTAGTCAGGGAGGTGATAAATAACCTGATGCTCACTCTGCCTGAGCTCCAGCGTTCTTCTGTGGAGAGAGGAGAACCTTAAAGAAGGACAACCATCTGTGCAGCAATACCCCAATCAGGCCTGTATGGTAGAGTGGCCAGACGAAGCCACTCCTTGCCTGGAATTTGCCAAAAGGCATCTGAAGGACTCTCAAACCAAAAGAAACTAAATTCTCTGGTCTGATGAGACTAAAATTGAACTGTTTGGAGTGAATGCCATTTCACTCCAATTACATTTGGTGAAAACCAGGCACCGCTCACCACCAGGCTAATACCATCCCTACAGTGAAGCATGGTGGTGGCAGCATCATGCTGTGGGGATGTTTTTCAGCAGCAGGAACTGGAAGACTAGTCAGGATAGAGGGAAAGATGAATGCAGCAATGTACAGAGACATCCTGAATGAAAACCTGCTTCAGAGTGCTCTTGACCTCAGACTGGGGCGACAGTTCATCTTCCAGCAGGACAATGACCCAAAGCACATCATCAAATTATCAATGGAGTGGCTTCACAACAACTGTGAATGTCTTTGAGTGGCCCAGCCAGAGCCCAGACCTAAATCCTATCGAACGTCTCTGGAGAGATCTGAAAATGACTGTACACCGTAGCTTCCCATCCAACCTGATAGAGCTTGAGAGGTCCTGCAAAGAGCAATGGGCAAAAATTCCCAAAGACAGGTGTGTGAAGCGTGTGGCATCATATTCATAAATAATTGATGCTGTAATTGCTGCCAAAGGTGCATCAACAAAGTATTGAGCAAAGGCTGTGAATACTGATATACATGTGATTTTTCAAGTTGTTTATTTTTAATAAATTTGCAACAATTTAAAAAAAAAATATTTTTTCACATTGTCATTATGGGGTATTGTGTGTAGAATTTTGAGGAAATAATTTTTTATCCATTTTGGAATAAGGCTGTAACATAAAAAAAATGTAGAAAAAGTGATGAATACTTTCCTACTTTTTCTACAGTGAGTTTTACCATTTTTTAATCCATTCAGGTTATCTCGGGGTCTGGTGGAAGCACTTTTAGTTTAGCTTAGCATAGATCAGCATCTCATAAAAAAAGAAAAATTTTATTAAGATAATTTTTTTTTAATTAAAAATTAAAGCTTGACACTTCTGTAGTTACATTGTGCACTAAGACTAATGGAAAACGAAAAATTGCTGTGAAAAATAACTTCATCAGTCAAAAATCACCCTGTCACACACCAAAATTAGTAAAGCAGTTTCTTGAAGCTTAAAACATTACAATAATGGATTGGCAGCCCACAGCCCTGATCTAAACCTGATTGAAAATCTCTGGAAAATCCTTGGAGATCAACTTATGGCTAAGAAACATGGCAGTCAGTGAACCATGGGAAAGACTGGAAGAAGTATTGAAGGCAAGCAAATAAAATGTGTCTGTGTTTGTCAAAAAAAATAAAAAAAATCAGTTGCTGAGATATTATTTTTAATAGATACATTTGTATATCCACATGTGTGAGAACAGTAAATAAAGTGTTTGTGGTCAATCATCCAGCTGACACAGCAAAGCTACGCCTCTCTTGATCCAGTGCTGAGGACGTTTGCTAGTAGGAAGCATCATGGTGATCACAAAGTTGGTTGAATGGCCAGTGGTGGACAGTGTACCTTTACGCTCACTGGTCTTGTAGAGGGGACACACATAGACACTATGGGGCTGGTCCATGGCCTTCTTGTCCGCTGAAGACAGAATTTGTGACATTTATGAGATTTGTGACATTTAAGCGTATACAAAAGAATGAAATATTTCATGGGAATGTAATTAATCAGTATATACAGTGCTCAGCATAATTGAGTACACCCCATTTTGAAAAAATTATATTTTTATCCATTTCTTATTGAATATAGGCAATGCAATTTGATGCATTTAAACAAAACAGATTTATCAAACAGATATATTTATTAAATTAATATTTTAGTCACCAAACATAAAAAAATACAATACAACCTACAAAATTTTAACAAAATGTTTACTTTTTTTGTCTCTCTTGATTTTTCCTCTTCTTTAAATTTGTATTTAATATTTTTTTTATAACATAAATGTGAGTGCTCTAGTTTTTGGACCGTTATCGTAAGTTATTTTGTTAGATAAGCTCCAGATTTGGCTTCATTACTGACTAAACTAATGCATAATATTGTATATAAATATAAATATAATATTGTATAGCTTCTTATTAAAAATATAAATTTAAAAGATAGATTTGTGAGCGGTGTACTTATATATGCGGAGATGATCGTACTTGGTTTGATCCAAATGATGGGGACTGCATCAAATAAAACTTTGGGATACTGTTCGGCCAACACTCCACTGCAAACAAGAACAAATACATTAAAAACTTAAATAGTTATGTATAATTATGTCATTCTTCTTCCAACCAAGGAAAAGCTTCTTGCCTTTTTTTATCCCATCGCGCTCCATCCAAGAAAAGGCCATGAATGTATACTCCATCTTCTGGAGACGAGTCAGAGGTGTCAAACGGCAGAACCTAAAGCAATTACGAACAAAATGATGCTCTTAAAATGTTTCAAATTAATGTACAACAAACCTAAAGACAATTGTAACAGAGAAGACCTCATAGTTAAAGCCCAGTAAGTCAATGGGGATGGAGTATTTCCTGGCGTAGTTCTGCAAGGCACCTGTTATGAAAGCCTGAGTGAAGAAAAACCCAGATAACCAGAATACATGGGGCTTCTGGGTGTCATACCAGTCCTAGAAAAAGAAGAAGACAACTTATTTCTGATACAATTTACTGCATTCAGTCAAAAAGAATAAATGTTATTGTGTAACATTGTTGTATATCATAGGTCTTAAACTCGATTCCTGGAGGGCCACAGCTCAGTTTTGCTATGACCCCAATCAAACACAGCTGATCCAACTAATCAAGGTGATCAAGACTACTAAGGTGAGTCTCAAATTGCATACTTATGCACTATTCTACGCCATTTTGCAGTATAACACTCTAAAAAACGTTGAGTTATTTATTTAACCCAATGGTTGAGTTAAACATTTTTGGTGCTTTGTTGGAATATTTTCAACCTTTATTAGATTATTTATTAATAACCTAACTGGTTGAGTTAAATATTTGGTGCTTTGTTGGGTTATTTTTAACTTTTATTTGGTTATTTAGTTAGTAATTCAACAAGTTGGGTTGTAAATTAGATTTTTAACTGTCAGCTGATTCAACTGACACAAAACAGCTGTATTAATATGCATGTGTAATTTTGTTTTTGCGTTTTAATGTTGATTTAAGCTCTAACCCAAGAATATTATTTTCTTGTCAAATGACCTCTCCGTGTCGTGTTTTTATATCCGGTCTACTTCCAAGACCATCTTTTAGAAGCATTTGGATGTGGTTAAAATGTATTGTAAATTGTGGACACTGAGTGAAGCTTGCTGCAGCTGCTGGACAGCCTCTACAGCACACAGAACTCCAATTTCTGCTCAATCAACACATGCTTTTCTGCTTGCACAGTTTATAACTGTCTGTACTTTGTTCTGTTTCTTTATTGTTTGTGATTCTTGATTTATTTTAACAGAAGTTTCTGGAATTAAAATGTAATGGAAAAAAGCATTTTCAATATTTTTGAAAACTGTAAGTTATTTATTTACCCAGCCATAATTATAAAATTAATAGTAGTAATAATAGCAATAGTAATACCAGAATGAAAAAAATAACATTTAATTAGAATAATCCAATGCATTGGATTAAATTATATAACCCAATACATTGGGTTAAAATAACCCATAGGTGGGAAGGTGCTATGATAACCTATAGTTGGGTTATAAGGGTATTTTTAACCCAACTATTTTAACAGAGTAGCGTTCGCACTGAAAACTCTAATAATACTAAATACACATTAATTACCCAAATGATGCACTTATTCAACTGTTAAAATAAGTGAGGAATGATGGACACTTCACACAATCAACGACCGCAGCTTTGCTCACATATCAGAAGGGGCTGAGCTATCGGGCTCTCGTGTTGGATTACTTTATTTATTTTGGATTGTGAAAGCAAAATTCCCCAACGAGAGCTATAATACCGCCTCCCGAGAATCTCGTTATACTCATGGCAGGAATTATTTGGTACTTTGGTCATTTATTTCACTAATTTGTTAAATGTCATCAGGGAAATGGTTTGAATTTCTGCTTAGTAAAAAAAACCCCGTAAGTGTTCCATTTAGGATGACACTACATACATATACTATGCTGTTGAGTGTGTAAGTGCATAAATACACAGTGTATCATTTGGGATGCAGGTATAGAGATTAGGTAGGTGTGAGTTGAAGGTGGTTGGAGCTAAACCGTGCTGAGCTGTGACCCCCCCACGAATTGAGTTTGAGACCATTGTTGTATATTGTGCAGCAAGAAGAAGCACATGGTCCTTTAGAAATGATTCTGATGTGC